GAAATTAAAAGATTAAAAGTATTAAATGCTAAACTGTTTTCTGCTCAAACCAACCCTGTTTACATTAGCTTGAACTTATATTAACTGTAAATAAATAAAAGTAAATTAGTGTTGTGTTTTATACACACAAACCATTGCTTTTGACTTTTAATGAACTATGACTCTCAAAAACTTTTAATATAGCATCCAAAACTGACAGACATGAAAATGCATTTTCTTTATTGGCAGTAAATATTCACCCACTTTATTATCAGGTACACTTGTTCAACTGCTTCATAACTATATAGTCAGACAATCACCTGGCAGCAGGTCACGAGTGGCAGTATGGGGAAGAAATATGACTTAAGTAACTCTGAATGTGGCACGGTTGTTTGTACCAGGCAGGCTGGTTTGAGAAGCTGCTGATCGACTGAGATTTTCATGCACAACCATCTGTGGGGTTAACATAGGATGGCGTACAGGAAAAGTGAAACTATCCAGTGCAGATCCAAAATGGATAAAGATCATAGATTCAAACCAGATCAGGCCCAGATCCATTTCAGATGAGGTCATTTCCCAGCTCTTCCCATTCAGGTGAATCAAGGCGGGCTTATTTTGTCTGTATTCCTGATTTTAACCCGTAAGAGCCCAGACCAGTTTTTACTGTCAGGAAAACTATGGGAGAGTCAGTGTCGAAACTTTAACAAGAACACCTGTGTGACCTTGGTTTCTCATGGGTTGAAATAGGTCATCTCGCCAAAGCTATAATGAAATATGTCAGATCTAGCTGATGTACAGTAGACAGCGCTATAAAAGCTTAGATGTGTCTTACAAAACTTGGAAAGTTGCATTTTTTTAGTTAAATGTGAAACAGTTACTACTGACTGTATGACAGCTATCAGCTATCAGTAAAGGCTGATCTTAGATCAGATTAAAAAAAAAGGTTAAACTGGGAAACGAAGCATAGTTTTTCTGTAAATCTCATTAAGCATTTTTATCCAGTAATGGAAGAAATAATTAAATCCTCTAACATTAAAAATCAGACTGTCACAGCACATCAGTATATTAAATGCTGATTGAATTTCATTTAAAAAAAATGAAGTGGCCATAAACTGTTACATGTCTGATGTTTTTATCTTCAGCTTCTGTCACCTACATTTTTCCTCTGTTAACTTGCAGCTGAATAATTCGATGGAAACACAAACTGTGATGTCAAATTAAGATTGCAGCTTTAGCTAATAAAAACTCACGTTAGCTAAGATAAATGGTGACCATGGAGCGCACGAAAAATGTAAATATTTGTATGCAACTTTTTTTTTTGTCTGATGATGACAGAGTGAACTAAACTTTCCCCTTTTTTATTTTTATATTCTTAAATCAATATTCTGGGCCTTACTGGCACATGTTCATATTCAGCACTGGTACAATTTACCCATAATTATAACTCGTGTTATTACAGCTCCACTGATGAGGAGTTTTTTTCTCTATGCATGCATGTAGTTAACTCAAGATGATCATACTCAGAGTCTATTGAATTCACTCTGATCTCCCTTTTTTTTTAAAGGGAACTCAGTTTATGGCTAGACTCAGAGTTTGATGAACCTGCTTCCTGGAAAAAGGCCCTGATTGAATACTGTTACAGCATAACTGAGAGAACAACTCAGTGATTTGGTGCCACTGCTTTTTCAGATTCTACATAGCTTTATAGCTTTGGGGTTATTAATATGTAACAACTGTAATGTTTGTGAGAATACTTTAATACAACATCTTTAGAGCTTCTCTACAGCACCATTACTGTATAAGGTGCTAGCCTAATCAC